ATTGCCTGCCTTTCGTGATCCGAAGGTGGAAGATGATTAAACACTAGAGTGCCCAGAAATTTGCACTCGCATAAAGTTGTACTTGTCTTGCGATATTGGGAATGGGCTTATAGATGCCATTTGGAGGTTGATGTTGGAAGATGGGCTTAAAGATGCCATCAGAAGAAGTGTCGATCGCATAAGAGATTCCTTTGCGAGAGCTTGTACACCTGTTGTTGAGGAGGACTACACTGGGGAATAATGGTCTCTTTCTTGGGAGAAATAGAGTTTTAGGAACTTCAGTTGTCTGTTACTCTACTGGGGAATCATATCTTAGTCGAGGAGGTGAAAATGAACTGTTATCTGGTCGTGATCCAGGCTTTACAATAATTTGCTGAGAAAAATAAGACTGACTGCTATCTGGTCGTGCTCCAGGCTTTACAGTGACTTATTGGGGGGATGAGATTAGGCTTGCTATCTGGTTGTTTTCCAGGCTTTGCAATTTCTCGATTCGTATCTGGTCGTGCTCCCGGCTTCAGAATGAATTAGGTGGTTATCCGGTCGTATCCGGGCTTCCATCTAATTTTAAGGCATACTAATATCCGGTCGATTTCCGGGCTTCATAGTAATTGGCCGAGTAAACTGCTATTTGGTCAAATTCTAAGCTTCGCAATACCTTATACTATTATCTAGTCCTGTCTCAGTCTTCACAGTGTCTTATACCATTATCTGGTCAATTACAGGCTTCATGGTATATTATATTGCTATCTGGTCGATTTTCAGGCTTCACAATAACTTGCTGAGGATTAAGCTGTTTTCCGGTCGATCTCCAGACTTCCAAGCTTGTATTTAAGATATACCACTATCTGGTCGATTCCAGGCTTCGTAGTATTCTGGAGATATCAAGATATTATTCGGTCGACTTCTGGGCTTCATAGCTTGAATTGGAATAGAAATCTTAGTATTGATTTGACTGAACCAGAGAAAACTTGTGAGAATTTGATGGTATCTTTCCCTGAAAGGTAAAGATTAGTCGTATGTAATGTCATGATGTATGAAATGTATTGAGTAATGATGTTCTCAAAATAAATGAGATTGTGTTGTATGACGCTTATGTGTATGCCATGATGTATGGATATGCAATGTTCTTGTGACATTCTCTAGCTGGGGATAATAATTCCTAGACTGCTTTTGGAGAATTCAAGGAATTGAGGTCTTTGTTCTTGCTGGGGATAGTGACCGAAGATGATTAGCTGGAGACTCGCTTATGTTCTACTTGAGAACATTTTGCTGTGAGAGACTCTGCTTGAGGATAACCTTGTGGGAGAATGACTCTATGGGGAAGAGAGATATTCTGTTTAGATGATTTGCTGATTTGGAGAAATAAGCTCCGTTGGGGATGAATTATTATTGCCGGTGATAGCGAACTCTGTCGGGGATTGAATTTCTGCCTGTGGAAGAAATAAACTCCACTGATGGTGAACTTCTATTGTTGGTGGTAGATAAACTCTGCTTGGTAAGAATTTTTGCCGACTTATTCGTGATTATGAACCTCGGCTGGGGAGAGCTAACACCATTGTTTTTGGATACTTCCTACTCTGCGGGGAGTGTACGTACCTTTAGTCATATTCTCAAGCTGGCTCTGTCCTTGTACCTGGTGGGTAGAGCAACTGTAAGGTTTGGACATTTCTTGTTTGCCCTTGTTCTTGGAATTACGGGTAATTGTCTTTTGTTTCTTGTGTAAATATTTATGAGCAGCAATTATTTTCAAATGCATATATCAAAAATGAATCATTGGACGTTCTTGCAGAACAAAACAGCAAAAGAAAAACAAGTTGAAATTTCTTGTGGAAACAAGTTGTATTGATTTTCGAAGTTGTCCCGTAATAGGCGTCTTGTATAAGAGGCTGACGTCCTAGTAAGAGAATGGCGCTGAAGAATATAAATTATACAATTTGTGTAAAAGAAAGAAAAACAACTATGTGAAACAATCCCACTGGGTTCCAACTCTGCTATTGCCTTTATATCTTTGAGTGTCTCATCACTTTGCTACATGGTCGAAGGTAGATCAGATTGATTGGCGTCGTCCGAGCTTGATAGTCGATACTGAAGTCTGGTTGCAAGATGATCCAATGAGACATAGTGTTACGCTTTAATCCCTTATTTTTGCCTAGACCGCCCTTTCGGGTTTTCAGTCCACCGGGATACCCTTTTTTGCCCAAGCCTCCTTTTCAGGTTTTCGACTTGCCGGGTGTACAGTTTTTTTTTCATTTTCATCCCTTACTTTTGCCCGAACCCTTTTGGTTCGCCGGGAAACCCTTATTTTTGCCTAGGCCAGTCAACCTAGCGGGTTTTTGATTATGCGTAGTATCTTTTCACTATGTCTGTATTGACGGGGTGAGGAAGGTCGTCACCATCCATGGTGGTTAGAATCATAGCTCCTCCTGAGAAAATGTTCTTAACCACAAACGACCCTTCACTACAAGAAAATTAGTGTTTAACGACACAAAAATTGCGACAGTTATGTGATAACTGTCGTAATTGACATATAGAGACAGTGTTTACGACAGTTGACACCAACCGTCCCTAATATTTATTTTGCGACGGTATATTTAACCATCATAATATTATTATTACGACGGTAAAACAACCGTCGGCCCCCATTTAACACTTTTAACATTGATTTTTCACCAACAACTAGTCACGACGGTAAAATTAACCGTCCTAAAAGGCATATCACGACGGTAAAGCACCCGTCGCACCCTTAAACCTTTCACGACGGTAAAATTATCCGTCCTAAAATTCATTTCACAACGGTAAAACAACCGTCGCACCCAAAACCTTTAAAAATTCTCATGGGCACGACGGTAAAACACCTGTCGCCGTAAAAAAGTTAAAAAAAAGCTGAGTTGTACCGCAATTTGATTTTCCGGGCATACGAGAAAAGAGAACTATGCCAATCCCCAATCACCAACTGAAAGAGAAACAAAACTTCCCTATTCTCTAAAGCTTGCCACCCCGTGGAAGGTCATCTAATGTTGTGGCGGCCTTGAGCTCTTCTTCTTTCCGGTGGCCGGGTTAGCACCCCTCTAAGACCTTGTACCCGAAACAGATGCGGTTTAGCAGGGGCTTGCCAGGTATTTCCTGGGGATTTCCATTCGGGCTTTAATGCGGCTAGAGACGGATCCAACGAATAGCTAAGGTTCATTGACGATCCCTGGCTACAGCTTTGGAGGTTGTTGAACACTGTCACTAAAACATGGAGAATCCTGAAAATCATCTCAATAATGACGATATCACTGAAAAGTAAGCTTTATTTTCATCACAATACATAATTAGGTCAACCAATTAGAACTCTGTAAGATTAGGTTACGTCATTCAACATTCAATTTATTTATTTATCAATCTGTTTTCAGAGAAGCATCTCAGCTTGCTGCGTTGTTGAAAGAAATGAAGGAAGGTCTTGATAATGTTAACCGCAAAATTCAAACTTTAACTGCCAAGGTCGGAATGCGCTTTTTTTTTTGGACTTTTGGTTCTGTTATTGGTGATTTTCATTATTTGTGTGTCTCTTATATCAGGTGAAAGCTCAGAGTTCTACGGCAGATGGATTCAGTTATCTCGAAGCTAAAAATTTGCTGCTTTTGAATTATTGTCAATCCCTTGTTTATTATCTATTGCGAAAGGCTAAGGGATATTCTATAGAAGAACATCCTGTTGTTCGAAGTATAGTTGAGATAAGATTATTTTTAGAAAAGGTCTGTTTTATTCTTGTGTATCATCTTTGTATATTTGTGTTAGACTTGGTGTATCTGACATACAGTTTTTTGCTGCAGATTCGTCCAATTGATAAGAAACAGCAATACCAGATCCAGAAAGTTATTAAAGCGAGTGAAAGTGCAACAAGTAATGCCAATGAGAAGGTGTCGGCTGCATCTGATAAGAGTAAGGACGTTTCAAAGTATCGTCCAATTCCTGGCAATCTTATTAGTAAAATAGAACCAACCGCACAAGTGAGTTTATTTAATAATATCGTTGAAAATTTGAGGTGCGATAGTATGATGCAAAATATATTTGTCTTCTGTTTCTCTAACTTAATTCATTTATGTTATAGGATGATGATGGTGACGATGTGTATCGTCCTCCTAGAATTGCTCCTACTTCTATGGATATGGATAAATCTTCGAAGCAAGAAAGAAATGCCATCCGAAGAGATAGAGAAATTTTGAAACAGGCTAAGCAAAGTGATTTTATCAGAACAATGGTGAATGATATGGAGGGGAGACCTGAAGAGGTGATATAATTATTGTATTTTGGCGAAATTATTAGTGTATTTTGGGCGTGGAATCATAACAACTTAATGTGTTTATGTAATGGTTCGTGTTTGCTGCTTACTACACAGATACGAGATTTTATGGGAACTAGTAGAGAAGTGGATAAGTATGTTAGCAAAGCGGATGAGCGGTCTAGGCAAGAGGAGGAACTATTCACCCGTGTTCCTATGACGAAACAGGAGAGGAAGAAAGAGAAGCACATGAAGAAAGCAACCAATGGGTACGGGGAATGCCTGATATTTTGCCTTTATAAAAAGCATCAAATGCACGATGACACCTTTACTTATTTTTTACTCACACTTACATCTGTGTTTATTTTTTCCAGGATGCAAGGCCTAACAGAAAGTTTATTTGATGAAATCAAAGGTTTACCCTTTGAAGATGATACTGGTGAGCAAACAATGGGCTTCAAAATGGGTAGTAGAAGAAATGGGAAGCACGGGAAGCTGAAGAAGCGAAAGGCATGTCTCTTTGATTTTGATCCTTTTAAATTGTTGCATGAAAACATTAATAATAATACACTTTTTAAACATTGAATCGGTACATTTATTTCCGTTTAACTTTGGTGGATGTGGTTTGTGCTCTGTTTCATCTGAATTGCGGATAACAGACTTAATCATTTGATAATCACCTTCTAGAAACTTATTTTCATCATCATCATTTTCGAACGAATTTGTTGCGATTAAGATGCCATTAACACCGAGTCCAACTCCGACTCACAAGAAGGTGAATTTTCTTGTGACTTCACGTTCTGTTGATGCTGCTCCAATTGTGGATAGTGATAGTAACAATCTAGGGAATTTGACCACAAGAGGAAAATCGTCGAGTGCTAGAAGTATTATGCCGAAATTGAACTTTCCGTATAATAGGACTTCATCATCTGATGTTGAAAAGGCGATAAGTTTGGCTCCGGAAAGTCCTTGTGAGAAGCCTTCTGTCTCTGGATCAAGATCAGTGTCTTTGAGTAAGCTGTTTGCTCCTAAGATTTATAGAACTTCTTCGCTACCGGTTGAAGAAATCGGGCGTGTTAATAATGAGTTTGCTTTTGGTGGATGTCTTGGTGCTTCTCCATATGTAAGGCTTTTAACTTATAATATCAATTTTGAAATAGTGGTTATTTTGTCTTTTGATTAACTTGTTAAGTCCTATTTTGATGAACAGTTTAATTAAACGTGTTTGTGTGAATGAGCATGCTTTCCACTTTCTAGTCCTAATTCTTATATTCTTTAGTGGTTGCCAAATATTGCATGTATATCCTTTGTTTTAACCAATTTGATCCTTTTGCAGAGAAGCCAGGGATCGATAGCTCGCACTCGTTCAGAGCCGGTAGATAGCAAAGAAAAAATCATAAGGAAAATGGATAAGTTTTTCCGCATTATTCCTTCCACCCCAGGTGCAAAGGAAGTTAAAGAATGGTTAAAAGCTTCTGCAGAAAAGGATACAGGTATTAAGTCTAACAATACAAAAGCTGATTGATACATTTTCATTAACTCGACTTAAAATTTTTTCATGGTTCAGAAAATGGCGGTGATGACGGTGAAGATATAGCTGAAGAGGAAGCTGTGTGTAGGATTTGTCTGATTGAGCTATGTGAAGGAGGTGAGACGCTGAAGATGGAATGCAGTTGCAAAGGTGAACTTGCATTGGCTCACCAAGAATGCGCTATCAAGTGGTTCAGTATCAGGGGTAACAAGACATGTGATGTGTGCAAGCAAGAAGTTCAGAATCTCCCTGTCACTCTCTTACGCATCCAAAATGTTCAAACTCAGAATACCGGAGCAAGGTCTCAGCAGGAAGACGACTTCAGGCATGTGCAGTTATTTTCATTTGATAAAAACTATTACTCGTATGCTTCGTTTGAGATATATGCATATCTTGAGATCTTATGGGCAACTTCTTTAATGGCATATTATTTATGAAAATATCTAAAATATGAGGCCAACCAAACTAGTTTACTTTCATGCACTATAGCATTATTGCATAGCGAAATTTGATCAAACCGCTATTCCCACGATCTATGATCTGCTTGTATTGAAGTTGTAGATTTCAGTTTACTCTTCAGAATATTATCATGTAGTCAATTTTGTTTTGGGATTTCTGCAGTCGATACAAGTGCATTGGTTTATAAATGGAATATAGCGTTCTCTTTGTATCTTTCTTGTACTAAAAGTAATTGCTACCGGTAACACTTCAATTTGTGTGCACAATTTAACAGGGTTTGGCAGGAGTTACCTGTGCTTGTCATTGTCAGCATGCTTGCTTATTTCTGTTTCCTTGAGCAGCTTTTGGTAAGAACAAATGTCCTCTCATTTCTCTCAAAGTTACAACTCGGTATAGTGCGTGTGTGGAAAACATGAAAATCACGGTGAACAGAAGCTAGACATATCAGCTTCTCAAAATCACGGTTGAAAAAGGAGGAAGCTGAGAAAACATGAGGGTTGGCCTAGCGGTAAAAGCTTAGGTCCTGAGAGCGTGCTCCTCTCAAGTTCTCTGGTTGTAATTTTGCTAGGTACAAACAATTCATGTACTAAGTGTCACTTTTTCTTTGGTTTGTTTGCAGCAAGGAGTGGATATCAATGCAATCGATAGAATTTTGCTTCAATCTTCAAAGCCATTTCTTCACACTAATGTTGATTGCAATGCATTATTTGCTGCTGTGGTCAGCAGGCAGATAAATGTTGTTAAACTCCTTTTGCAGGTTGGTGTAAGACTTGATATCAAGGTCAAATTAGGAGCTTGGTCTTGGGAAACAGATACAGGAGAAGAATTCCGTGTTGGTGTCGGACTAGCCGAGCCTTTTCCAATCACATGGTGTGCTGTAGAATATTTTGAATCCACTGGCACTATACTCAACATGCTTCTCCATCACCTCTCACCTAATAGTTTTCACATGGGAAGAACTCTCTTGCACCACACCATCATTTGCAACAATGAAAGAGCATTGAATGTACTTCTGAATAATGGGGTTGATACAGAATTGGCCCTTCAAACTACTGAAGAAGAAACCAATCTATACCCTATTCACATGGCTGCACGCCTCGGACTATGCAACATTCTTCAATGTTTTATTAATGGTAACTGTAACTTGGACTCGCAAACAAAACTTGGTGACACGGCGTTGATGGTTTGCACAAGGTATAAACATGAGAAGTGTCTAAGAGTTTTAGTATCATCAGGAGCTGATTTGGGGATAGTAAATTCGTTTGGTCATTGCGCAACTTCAACAGCAACTTCTATTCATTGGACTAAAGAATATCAGAAAGCAGTTTTGGATATAATTAGAGCCAGAAAGGTTGTTAAGTCTAGCAATGCGTCTAGATTTTCATCTTTGTTATTCGTCACTCACGCGAATGACATAGAGGCTTTGAAAAAAGTCGTTGAAAACAGAAACATAAATCTAGATGAGCAAAATGAGAGTGGATTTTCAGCTGTCATGATATCTGCTTCAGAGGGTAGCGTGGAGGCATTCAAGTTGCTTCTTCACGCTGGAGCTGATGTAACCAATCTTAAAAACAAAGATGGTTTAACAGCTCTAGATATCATAGATTTGAAACAAAATGGTGAAGATGGTCATAAGGTGATGTTTGAATATGCACTTAAAAAGGGATGTTTGAATATTAGTACTTTAGCCGAAGCGAATACTCTTCACCGTGCAGCTTGTTATGGAGATATAAACATGGTTGAAAAACTACTAAAGGAAGGGAATTACGATGTGAATGGTTTTGATGAAAATGGATATACACCATTGATGTTAGCTGCCAGAGAAAGTAATGGAGAAATGTGTGGCCTTTTGATATCTCATGGAGCAAAATGTGATATTAAGAATGAAAGACATGAAACAGCACTTTTACTTGCAAGAGAAAAAAATTTGAAAGGAAATGATGCAGAGAATGTGATCATGGATGAGTTAGCTAGAAGAGTAGTATTGTGCGGTGCGCGTGTGAAGAAACATACAAAATGTGGTAAAGGACTTTCATGAATTTTGTAGAATATTGTAACATTTTTTGTAATTCTCTCAAGTTGTAGCAAACCAATGTAAATATTAAAATGAAATTTGGCCTTTGATGATATTTGAATTTTTCTTGTTTATTGGTAAAATTTGCACTTCTTTTTACCTTTGATCACATTTTTTTGATATTATTGATGATTATTTGATATTAAATGTTTTTATTGTAATTAACTTTATTATGTTGAAAAGTGATAGAAAATAAAATAAAAATACTATAAAAAAAAATATTAAAGTAAATAATAATTTAAATATAATAGTAAAATATTATAGTAAAATAATATTATATTTAAAATTATTTTACTAAATAATAATTTAAATAAAAATATTATTTGAAATTTATAAATCAGATTACGACGGTTAAAACCGCCGCAATTTCTAACCTACGGCGGTAGAATAACCGTCGCAAACAACAACAAAAACAAAAAATAAAGTCAAATTCACGACGGTATATAACCGTCGCTATCTGTTGTGCGTGACAGTTTTTGCAACCGTCGCGAAATAGGCTGGGGACGCACGATTCTGCGACGGTACTTCTACCGTCGTAGATTGTAAATTGCGACGATTTTAACCGTCGTAATCAGCCAAAATAACCGTCCCAATCTATCATTTTTCTTGTAGTGCTTCGTACGTGGGGGTCCATTTGCCCCTGGGATCACCTTGCGGTAAAATGATGCGTTTGATCACCAGATCCCCGACTTGATATTCTTGACGTCTGACTTTCTTGTTAAAAGACTTGATCATCTGCTTTTGATACGTCTGACCATGACAAATAGCAGTAAGTCTCTTTTCATCGATTAAGTTCAGTTGATCAAGCCTGGTTTGGATCCAATCGTCTTCGCTCAAACCCGCATCCTTCATAATCTGGAGAGAGGGTATTTAGACTTTGATGGGTAGGACTGCCTCCATGCCATACACCAGAGAATAGGGTGTTGCCCCTGTCGACGTCTGTATTGAGGTACGATACCCATGAAGAGCGAATGGTAACATCTCGTGCCAGTCTTTGTATGTCACTGTCATCTTCTGCACAATCTTCTTGATGTTCTTATTAGTTGCCTCAATAGCCCCATTCATCTTCGGTTGGTAGGGAGAAGAGTTATGATGTTGTATCTTAAACTGTTTTCAGAGCTCGGTGATCATTGTATTGTTGAGATTTGTACCATTGTCTGTGATGATCGTCTCCGGTACGCCGTATCGACAGATCAAATTGTGTCAGATAAACTGCGCCACGACGTTCTTGGTTACTGTAATAAAGGAAGCTGCCTCAACCCACTTCGTAAAGTAATCAATAGCCACCAAAATGAAACGATGCACGTTGGATGCAGTAGGTCTGATCTCTCCGATCATATCGATGCCCCACATTGCAAAAGGCCAAGGAGCTGTCAAAACATTCAGAGAAACTGGGGGTACATGCACCTTATCAGCATAGACTTGGCACTTATGACAGTTTCGAGAATGCTGATAATAATCGGCTTCCATAGTGGACCAATAATATCCAGCTCGTAGGATCTTCTTTGCCATGGTATGTCCACTGGAATGAGTTCTGAAGGTACCTTCATGTAACTCTGTCATGATCCTTTCCACCTCGCTTTTGTCTACACATCGCAGTAAGGTTGGATCATGGTTACGCTTGTAAAGGATACCATTACTGATGAAGAACTTCACAGCGAACCTTCTCAGAAACTTCTTATCATTAACAGATGCCCCCTCGGGGTATTCTTGAGCCTTAAGATACCTCTTTACCTCATGAAACCATGGTTTATCCGATACCTCTTCAGTCTCAATGTCACAGCAATGTGCGGGTTCGTCCAACCTCTCGATGGTAATCTGGGGAGCTTCATTGTCCCACCTGAATTTGAACATAGAAGACATGGTAGCTAGCGCGTCCACTAACTGGTTCTCTTATCTTGGGAAGTGTTCGAAGGTTATCTCCTCAAAGTGTGGGAGCAACGTCAATACATACTCTTTGTAAGGAATAAGATTTGGGTGCTTCATATCCCACTCACCTTTGATCTGACTGATCACTAAAGCAGAATCTCCGAATACACTTAAGAACTTAATCCTCGGGTTAATAGCAGCTCGAAGACCCAGGATACACGCTTCATACTCCGCCATATTGTTGGTGCAGTTAAAACATAATCGGGAGGTAAACGGAGTATGACAGCCCTCAGGAGATATGATCACAGTGCCAATGCCATTACCCAACGCGTTCGAGGCTCCATCAAAATACATAGACCATCGAGATCCCTCCTCGGGTCCTTCATCCGGTCCAGGTTCTTCGCAGTCAGTTACCAACATGATATTCTCATTCGGGAATTCGAAATTCATGGATTGGTAATCATCCACGGCCTGATGCACCAAATGATCCGCCAATACACTCCCATTGATTGCTTTTTGGGTTGTGTATTGGATGTCATACTCAGTTAAGATCATTTTCCATCTTGCTATTCTTCCGGATAAGGCAGGCTTTTCGAAGATATACTTGATTGGATCCATCTTTGATATCAATAAGGTGGTGTGAGTCAGCATATACTGTCTCAGCCACCGAGCAGCTCATGCCAAAGCGCAACAAGTTTTCTCAAGCAATGAGTATCGGGTCTCACAGTCGGTAAATTGTTTGCTAAGGTAGTAAATAGCATGCTCTTTTCGGCCAGACTCGTCATGCTGCCCCAGCACGCACCCGATTGAACTATCCAGTACTGTCAAGTATAAGATTAAAGGTCTTCCTTCAACTGGAGGCATCATAATAGGTGGTTCTTGAAGGTATTCCTTAATTCTTTCAAAAGCGGTCTGGCACTCGTCATTCCACTTTACTACTTGATCTTTCTTCAGCAGCTTGAAGATTGTCTCACAAGTAGCGGTCAAGTGTGAAATGAACCTGGCGATGTAATTCAGACGTCCCAAAAATCCTCTAACTTCCTTTCATGTGCGGGGAGCCGACATTTCCTGTATGGGTTTTACCTTGGCAGGGTCCACCTGAATACCCTTATCACTGACGACGAAACCCAGCAGTTTACCAGACTTTACCCCGAAGGTGCACTTGTTCGGGTTCAATCTCAGTTTGTACGTCTTCAATCTGTCAAACAATTTCTGGAGATGGTCAAGATGTTCTTCCTCAGTCTGGGACCTTTCTATCATGTCATCAACATAAACCTCAATCTCATAGTGAATCATATCATGGAACAAAGCAACCATGGCGCGCTGATAAGTTGCCCCAGCATTCTTCAACCCGAAAGGCATTACCTTGTAACAGAAGGTGCCCCACTGTGTAACAAAGGTTGTCTTCTCCATGTCCTCGGGAGCCATCTTGATCTGATTGTAGCCGGAAAAACCATCCATGAAGGAGAAGATCTTATGCTGCGTGGTGTTGTCGACCAAAACATCGATGTGAGGTAGTGGGAAGTCATCCTTGGGGCTTGCCCTGTTCAGATCTCTATAATCCACACACATCCGTACCTTACCATCTTTCTTAGGTACTGGAACAACGTTGGCAACCCACTGCGGATAAGAAGTGACAGCTAAAAATCCCGCGTCAAACTGTTTCATGACCTCGGCTTTGATTTTCTTAGACATCTCAGGGCGCATACGATGAACCTTCTGCTTTACCGGAGAACAATCTTCTTTAGTCGGCAGGTGGTGTACCACAATATCAGTATCCAAACCAGGCATATCTTTATAAGACCCAGCGAAGATCTCAACATAGTCACGTAGCATCTGTGTCAACCTCTGCTTGACACTAGGCTCCAAATTCACACCTATCTTAACCTCTTTCCTATCTTCCTCTATACCCAAATTCATTGATTCAACTGGCTCTTCATGGGGCTGTATGGCCCTTTCTTCCTGTAGTAACAGTCTAGCAAGCTCTCCGGGAACCTCAAAATCATCCTCACCTTCGTCCTCAGCTTGGTTGATCGGATTTTCGAAGTCATAACTGGCAGTAGCAGAGTTGTTATCAATGGGATCCAGAGTGGATATGGATATGCATTATGATACGTGAGTGTGTGTAAGAGAATAGTTGTTTTAATAGAGTGAGAGACAGAAAAGAAAAACAAGGAGCGCAAAATTTGTAATGCAAGAAACGTCAAATGCTTTATTAATGATATATGAAAATGATAAATAATAAGCCCTCACAAGCGAAGCCAAGGTGCCTCGGGCAAGGCACCAGGCCGTAAAGTTTCGAACTGTTTATTACAAATCTCAAAACAAAAGTCAATTACCGTGGAATAAAAGAAACAGGTATGAAGTTCTTCGTCGTCCAGTTGTTCAATCCACCATTGGTTGTAGGGTAGGTCCACCTGTCGATATCTGAATCTTCTTCATCATCTTCAATTGCATTAACTCCCTGATTGCTGATGTGCAGAGGATGTATTCCAATTTGTGCGCGCCTAACAACCCTTTGAGCTCCTGTAGTAAAGCCCAAACCAAATTTGTCAGTCTTGTGAGTGAAGTCAGGGAGCCGACCCCAATTGGTATACCTACCTTCTTCGATTACAGCCCTGGCATCCTTGAGAGAAGCCATCTTCATTGGAGGTTTGTCAGTAGCAACTTCAGTTGACGCCAAAGTCTGGGGAACCTCTTCAAAGTTCTGACAAGGGGTTTCGATGAACTCCCCATCCATCTCCACGTAGCGAAAGGAATTGAGATGACTTACCATGTACTCCTCTTCACCTTGTACCGTGACAATCTTCCCTTTTACCAGATATTTCAGCTTTTGATGGAGCGTTGAAGTCACTGCCCCAGCCTTATGAATCCAAGGACGATCCACAAGCAAGAATACGATGGTCTGATGTCCATTACATAGAAGGTAGATCCAAAAGTCTGAGAGCCAACTTTAACAGGGATGTCCACCTCCCTATGCACTATCCTTTTTGACACGTCGAAAGCCCTGACCACAATATTGCTCGGCTTTAGAATCAAACCTTCACAATCCAGACGGTCTAATGCTTTCTTTGGCAAAACATTCAATGAGGACC